TCCTTGTGCTCTTTCTAGGAATCTCAAAGGTGGATCGCAGCAGGGAGATCTCTTCTCATCTTCATTTCAACTTTGGTTTGCACTGCCTGTGTTTTGTCCATGCTGCTCCGAGCACAGGGACATGGGCTGAAGGTTTAGGAACACCGATGAGAGTCCCAGAGCTTCCTTTTGTTCCTCTGACCTCCTGGAGGCTCCTGGCCTTGCTCTCTTGTTTAGTCTGGTTGAACTCAACACCGTAACTCTTCTTGTCTTCGGTGGGATGGTTGATAGATGATTCATGCTGCGTGCCGTTTGCAACTACTGGGCACTGGCACGGGTCGCGGTGGAAGGAGTGAGGCAGACTAAGACTGTTGGATGCTGCTCCTCCCATCCATTTTCATTCCTGAGTCCCCATTCCTGCCCATCTGAGCCTCCTGCCACTAGAAATGTGCTCGCTGGAGAGCAGATTGCCAGCTCAGCCTTGCAGTCAGGCAGCTGAGTCGGGGGTGTCCTCCTCCTCCAGACCAGACATCAAGTTGCGATCCCAAGTCACTACCCCAGAGCCATCAGCAGTGGGTTGACCTATATGCCTTGGTATGACCAGACCTGGCATGGCCAGGAGAAGTTTGCAAAGCTTCACAAAATGGGGCTAACTCCCCTGCAAGCTCCAAGCATGCTGCTATTTTCCTGTTTTAGGGAGAGTTCTGACTCACCACAATGCCAGAATCGGTATAAGATACACGTTTCCAAAACCAAAAAGAGGAGGTTTGCCAAACTCCACAGCCGTGTCTGCAGAAGAGGATGAGGCAGTAGCGAGGGCTTGCACTGGCGAGAAAAGGAAAATGCCACCTGGAGAGAGCTACATCTTCCCAACAGTCCTTAGTAGAACAGAGATTGATTTTCAAAAGCTGCCTGAGGAACTGGATGGTTTGGGGCAGAACAGTCCTGGGAAGGCAGTGGCATGGAAATGAGGGGGAAGAGAGTCTTGCAGGGATTTGGTGTACAGTTGGGAGTATCAGCATCCCTTGGCTGACCACAGTTGCTCCATTACCTGTGATCGCTGTGCAGCAAGTAGCATCTTTTGCTCTGTGCACAGCACTTACCATAGTGCTGCTGAGCTCTGGTCTGGATTTTTTACTACTGAGAAGTGAACACAGGTGAGGCATCCTCACAGGAGCTGGTCATTTGTCCTTGATATCTGTAACAGCTCATTGCTTTATTTAATGTGACATCAATTATTTATTACTATTAATGAAGGACACAGATGGCTGTCTGGTCAATAAAATATCTCCTACTCCACAGAGATGGTCTACTTAGCTATCATTTACTCTGCAGAGAACCTTTGGATTCTTTTTGAAATTTAATAATGCGAGCAAAGATACTACAGCAATCTAGGAGGTTTGTGCTCCAGGGCTGCTTTGGGAGGCTGAAATCCTTCTTTATATTTGCTGGCAGGGTGTGCGAGAACACAGGTCCAGACGGGAACAAGAAGCCCCTTTGCTTTCCATCACAAGCTACTTATCCGTATAATCCCTTTTATAAAGTGATCAAACTCCTTCTTAAAAGATAGTTAGGTTATTTGCCCTTCTCAGGAGGAGACCGTTTATTCATATCCAATTTACTTTCTCTTGCCATTACTGCCCATTAGCCTAAGTATTTCTTTTCCATCCGAGTGCCTGCCCTGTTGATGTATGCAGAGTCAGTATCTCTACTTGGCCTTTTTATGGCTCTGCTTGTATGGTACACTTGAGCTTTTTGTTTTTTTCCCCAGTGAAGCCTTCTCTCCTGCTTTCCCTGTGCCTTGTTCGTAAGCACAGACGAGCAATACCTCGCACTGAGCTCTCACCATGGCCTTGCGTGTTTAGGTCAGTGTTCCTCTATTGCTACAACATCCCAACACCACTTTTCTTTGGTACGGTGACATTAGTGGTCCGTCGTCCTCTTGCAATGCCAGCAAATGCACCTATTGCCTTAGTTGTATTCCACTGACAAGGTCCTAGTCTCAATCTAGGGAATAACTTGTTTTCTGGTCCTAGGGCAGGCTTAGGAAATCTCATTTCAGCTGCTGTCAGAGCACCGCGGACTGAACGAAGAGAGAGTTCTCGTGTGCGAGGTGAACAAATAAAGTTGCCGTGTCCCCTGCTTCACCCAGGGGAGAGCACAGAAAAGCAGCTCCCTGCGTTTGCTGTGGGTTGACAGCTCTGGGTAGTCGGTTTGTCCCTGGGGTGTTGCTCACCCCACCCCATCTTTGCTCCATGGTCTGTGCAGTCTGGCACCACCAGCGATCTTACTGCTGCTTATACAGGTGCAGAAAGACTCCCAACCTTGGGGCTGAGGTTTCAACACCTTTGCTAGCATCTGTTTTGCTGTTTTCATAACAACCTTTTTGCTTTTCTTTGATGGTAGCAGGGCCAATGAGGGGGGAAAGTTCCCCAGAGGCTCAGGATTGAAGACAAAGCACCCTCTTGCTGTAAGGATTTTATTGCAAGTGTTTTGGCTTAACCCAAGTTGACACGGCGTTGGCAGACCCTGAGAGCTTAATTTCCTCCTGTACAGGGGGACAGAAACACGCTTGCAACGTAGGCAGGTCTGGTCAGACTCCGTGGCGAAGCAGAGCGTTGGGTGACGCAGCCACCGCTGCGTGGTCAGGCATTGCTCACTGCCAGCCTGCTCCTCTCCACTCACAACTACACAGAAAAACCATGAATGACAGCGCAAAGAGGAGTGCTCGGAAGTTAGTGGCTGCCTTGAGGACAGAGATCTGTGCAATTTTGATCCACATTTTAATTCAGTGCTTGCACCTGACGCTTTCCATCCCATGTCCAGTCTCCTGCAAGTCTGGTTCTGCCCTCTGCACTCCCTGTCTCAGCCCTGTGTTTTTCTCTCCCATCCCATCTCCTGTGTTCCCTGGCACAGGTGCCTTGACCAACGTTCCTTGTACCCGTGGACTACCACTCCACATCTCCACTTGGTCTTGCCCGGTTGCTCATCAGTCTCTCTGCCCAGCTATTTTCTTTGCTACCCCTCATCGGCTGCCTCTCAACCCTGTGTGCTCTGGAGGAAGGTGTGAGGTCCCACAGCAGGCACCCATGGGATGATCTGTCCCCCCGGGAAGTTTCTTCCTGGTCAGAATGAGAAGGTTGCTTGAGATCCAGAGAGGCTTAAAAGCTCTTGCTCTAGTTCAGCAACACAATCTGGTCCTACTTTGTTATGTGTTTGTGATTCATCTGGTTTATAAGTCACGACAGTGCCTGTTCGCAGTGACTTCTGGTGACAGGGAGTTCCCCAATCCAGCCTGATGTTGTATGAAAAGAGACAGAAATGAAAGTTGGAAGTGAGCAATAGGGTTTTATTTGTTTGTTTAAACCATAAACCCAGAGCTAAGGGGCTTGCTCAAGGCCATTCAGCGCTCGTGACTTCCAAGCGTTGATTTTACCGCTGCCAACCCAACCTGCCTGTTGGGTCGATTCGGGGTTTGGTAGGGACTGGGGGCTGGGAACTGGGTTAAACTACAGAGACCGGTGACAGAGCTGCCTGAAAAAAAGTTTGGAAAGAACAAGTCATGCTGGGAGCATTAAAATGAATAATTAAGGCTTGGATTCCTTTAGGGGGGGAAATAATTTATTGCTGCTCTTTTCTCTAGCCAAGGGGGACATTTGTTATTGAGTTGTGTATTTTGAAACAAGATGCAAATGTGGTTTGGGGGGACTGGGGAAGAGGGGATTTTTTCTTCTACCTGCGTAATCCAGCTGCACGGTGAGATATTCTGGGCTGGTTACACCACTGGGTTTTTTCTTATGGTCTGTACCAAGAACCTAAACTTGTGCTTCATTTCAGTAGTCCTCAGTCACTTTTGCTTTTAGAAAAATAAAGAAAAGTGCTGAGAAGGGAATTCTCCTCCTCCCTCTGCTGTAGTGTCTCGATATTTACACATGCACAAGGTACCCGGCACAGCAATCTGGGTCTAGCTTTGCTTAAACCAGCAGAACTCAATCAGCTGTAGCAACCCTTCCTCCGATTCCCATCCGTGGGAGTGGGGGCACAATCAGGGCAGCTGCTGTGGGTTGGTTTTTTTTCATTGCTTAGTACCTTGGGCTTTCAGTTACACTGGTGCAAAATGGGAACTGAATGCAATGAGCTCTAACTGATAGACAGCCTGCCCACTGCAAGGAGACAGGTTGCATGGCAGTGGATAATCATGCCCAAAAAGCTTAATAAATGGAGCATTTTCAGTTTCAACTGGGTCATGATCTAAGTGATTAATAAACTTTATAAATCAGAAGACCAAAAAAAAAAGTTCAGCAACTTTTCTTTTTTTTTTCTTCGGATGCTTGTAAAGGGACGAGTGTTCTTCAGCACAGCTGAAGGGGCTCCAGTCAGAGCTCCAGGAGCCAGCAGGGTGGACCTGAAAGGGAATGCAAAGCTACTGATTTTCATTGAATAAAAAAAACCAAAACCCCCACAAAAAAACCCAGCACAATGAGAGCAATTCCATCCAAGCTCTAAAAATGTCTCCTTTCCTGATCACCTAACATAGCAGAAACACATTTCACTGTGACAGGTGGTTTTTTGAAAAAAGCCATGTCCCCTTTAAGAACTGGATGGGTGGTGAGGGCAGGAGAGCCCTATTTAACCAGGTTTCCACCTCTTCTGGGGACTTGGAGCTCATCCTTGGATGGTGGTCCCGTGTGTGGTGTTTGCAGTGGGTCCACACGTTACCTGTACGGTCGGTGAGTGCACCCTTCCACTGTCCCAGCGATGACTTCACACTGGCCCTGGTTTCTGCGGTGGGTCCCTATTACAGCTGATGGCCCAGCTGTGTTTTCTACTTGCTTTGTCCATTGGTGATACTCCTCATATAGACTCGGGGCCATTCCTACCAGCCACAGCCAGCTAGAGTTTATTGATTGCCTGTCCTGTGCAGAGGTCTTTCTACAGTGTGGGGCTGATTTTTTTGATGGTCAGCAATAACTTTGCACCTGTATTGATGTTTTGGTCTTGTTCATCTCTTTGCTCTCCAGGAGAATCCTTGAGCTTTGCGGATGATTTGCTTTCTGGTCTTGCAACATCGTGTGTGGCAGCGGGTAGGAGCCACGGAGATGTCCCTGAAACCAGCCTCTATTCAGTCATTTTCAAGTGCCTGGAACCAGATGGTCTGTACAAGTAAGGAGAGGCGTGTGGGGAGGTGCTGGGGACAAGGAGGGATCTTCAATGCTGTTCTTTAATTGTTATTGACCTTGTTGGTCAGCACTATGTTACACTAGACACTGGGTAAATGATGACACTTTCTCTTGCTTTGGGCGTGAGGCTCAGTTAGTGAAATGGAAAACCAGTGTCTGCCAGTGTGTTACACTAGACACTGGGTAAATGATGAGACTCTTTCTCTTGCTTTGGGCGTGAGGCTCAGCTAGTGAAATGGAAAACCAGTGTCTGCCAGTGGAGTGCTGGAGGCACTGGGAACCTGTGGAAGCCTCCACTGGAATAACTCACATTTTTAGTATTCTGGGTTTCCTGGTCCATGCCTGGTGAGTATGGTTGTCTCTCGTGGATGAACTGAGCTAATGTGGTCAGGCTGAAGCAAGTTGCCAAATGCTTGATGAACCGAAGTAGCTGGATGTCAAAAGTGTGATAGGTGTTATTTATATAAGTTGCTGTTTATGTTGGTAGGACACGTATAACAGATCAGAGAGACACCAAATCCATCTACCCACCACCCAGTTGCCTCTGCAGGGGTGGCCGGCCATGCCTCTGCTGATGTTCTTGTTGACTTGACTCTTCTGAGATATTCTTTGAGTGGATGGGATTGGATTTTCTGCTTGAATCCTGGAGTAATTAGTGGAGTAATTAGTGTCCAAAGCAAAGGACTAATTTCAGGATCTGAATATTAACTTCTCCTTCAGTATTGTTTGGAGGGGGTCTGAGCTCCCGGCGTGTTAGCCAGGGTCTCCTCTGTCTTGAGGGGGTTATTAGGAGTCAGGACAGTAAGAAAGGAAAAAATAGAGAAAAAAGGCAAGGAGATAGAGAAGAGACAGAGTAAGCAAGAGAGAAACACCCAGGGCTTAATGTCAGAGTGACTGTAATAATTAAAGTACATTTTGTAGTGAGTAATGAAACTTTTTATGGGACCACAAAAGCATTTAAAGCGAGAGCTGGCAAATGGTCTGTCAGTGAGAACTTTTTAAGATCTTGATTAATACTTTCCCTTTGCCTCCCCCTCCACCACCCCCCAGTTAAGTATGTTGTCAGCCTCCAAAGAAGGAGAAGCCTCTATTGTGCATCTCTTGAGCAGGGCTGTGTCCAAGAGCGGGCTCCAAGTGATACGTCTTGCCATTTAATAATTTTAAATGTTTTCTTGTTAAATATATGTATAATGCATAAATATAATTGTTAATATCTCTGGGACCCGAGCTGTTCTGAAAAGGTGCCAAGGAGAGGCTGGAGCAACCGCAGAGCTTGCTAATAACCTGCTGCCCATAAAATCGTCCGATTGTGAGCTCTCAGCCGTTCGGCTTACGACTGCCAGGGGCACTGGGCGAGGGAAGAGCTGCTGGGTTTGATGGGGAGGCTGCTGCTGCTGAGGTGAATGCATGGGGCTGGGAGCCAGAAGGTCTGGCTCTTGGGACAGCCTGGACTGCCAAATCATCTTCCCCATCTGCTGGGCAGGGATGATTGCACTCATCCATCGCTTTAGGGGCTCTGTGATCTAATTCCTGATGTCTGCGAAGGGCTGGGAGAGCCTTGGGTGGAAGGTGGAAGGCTTTGTCCAGGGTTTTGTCATCCCTTTGGTTAAACCCAGGCTTCTGTTTCACAGTCGTGAGGCACATTGCCATGGAGGGGGTCAGCAGAATTGGCGATGCCCGGTGTCCCGGGGGTGGTCGTGGGCAGCTCCTGCTCTCTGCGGGTGCCCCTCGGTGAGGGACAGTAGGTTTTTGTGGGGAGCTGTGGCTGCAGGCAGCCAGCAGGCAGCAGTCCCCTGGCATCGAGGAGTTTTGGACCTCATCCTTCTGCAGGGACAGGCCCTGAAGTGACGCACAGTGTTGGCTCCATCCCTCAGCAATGCTCAGCAGGGTTTGGCACGCCGTTCCCAAGGCTGTGCACACTTAAGTACACATGTATGGACACACGTTCATGTTGGCACCTGTGGAGCATTGACCCATGCTCTTGGGCATCAAAAAAAACATACATACACTGCCACTACAGCACACCCTCCTCAGCATCTGCTGCTGCACGCCCCAGCACACCTGCATGGACTGATACACCGTACTGCTCAACGTGTTCGCATGTGCTGCCGTGGATGCAGGCATATCCAGCAGCACACACACGTTTGCGCCAACCTGGGACCTAACCAGCATCTGTTTACTTAGCGTCTATGCATTCTCAGATACATAGGCACACACATTAACTGTTCCTCTCTTTAGCTATCCATACAGTTGCAACACAGCATGAAGAAAGCCAGAACAGTGAAATGTGAGGCTAACACTCTGTTCTGATCCCATGCAGACGTAACAACAACAGAAACACGGGCACGGAGTCATTTCTTAAATTTAACTACTTCTGCTTGTTTCATTTGTTTCTGTGGAAAAAATAGCTGTCTTGGAAGGCTCTGGCCTGGGTATAATCCCGATTATAGCCACTCGGCAGGGACCTGTGCTTTTCTCTAGGCTATTAGTTGAGCACACAGAGTCCGCAGCATCAGAGCTCTTCAAAAGCAAATGCTTTTGCTTGTTCAGTAGTCTGAGGGTGTCACGTAAACCAAGAGAGGGGACTGTGAGATCATGGAAGTCTCTTCTGCTCTGTAAATGTGTCTAACAATCTGTTCCTTTTCTTCTGTAGTACCTGTGGCAATTACACTCTGCTGTTGACCATTCGTTGGGAGTATTACCAGCCTGAGATCAAAGCTGGACTTGAGTATGAAAAGCAAAGCCAAAAAATGCTCTACAAGCAAACAATAAACAAAGTCTGATTGATATCTCTGCTTTTGAGACTTCTGTAATTTCAAAACACAAACTAACAAAAGGAGAACTAATTTCTTTGTCCTTTGCAATTTCAGTCTGATGAAAATATGTTGCCTCTCAACCCTTTTTTCCCCTTGCCTGTAGTACATCGAGGTTGAGATGCTAGTCCCTCCACAGAGGGTTTTTTCATGTCAACATAGATACATGTGCTCCGTAGGCTGGTGTACACGCGTGGACACTCCTGCTGGTCTGTGAAACGTGGGTGCCCATGTGTGGGGATCCATGGTGCAGCCAGGTGAATGCACTCGTGTGCACGCACACAGAGACACTGAGGATGCTCCTAGAAGACTGTCAAGTTTGGTTTAAGCTCTTAAAAAACAGAAGTCTTGTAGTTCTTGTAAAATGCATCACAGGAGAGGGGATTGTTCTCCCCCCTGAGGTCAGCTAGACCAGAGCAGTCTGTCAAGCTTCCTCCCAGGTGGATCTGGAAGAGGATGGGGTGAGGAAGGCACCAGTAGAGATGTCTACATGTCTGTTAAGTGCTCATCCAGCATGGACCAGCTAGCCCGGACAGAAGTTAACGCCAATCAGACTGATAGTTTGGGAGCTTGGGAGCACCATGCTGTGACAGGCAACTTGTGATGCACCAAGCGGCAAACACCAGTCAAGAGAAAGGGCTCTGGCTTGTCTCAGAGGTCAAACTCAGCCTGGAGGACTGAGCTTACTTTGCACATGGCCCTTACATAGCTCAGCACCCTACAAACCCAACCGATCTCTTCACTGTGGAGACAGGAGCTTCCCTTGTGTATCTCCCACAGCCTCCCCGAGCCTTCAGCCCAGCTCATCCATCTCAGCCTCTCACCCTGTCATTCCTTGAGTGCCTGGGGATGCCTCTTCGCTGAGCTGTACCTAATTGGCTGCCGGGAAGCAGCTTTGCCAGCCCAGCACGTTTGTTTCAGATACTTGGGGAGACACCAAGTAACCCTCAGCCAAAAAGGGAAATTTTGGAAAGGGAAGTGAAAACCCCCTCCAGCTCCTCGATGAAGCTGTAGTGCAAACACACCAACTTCTTCCCTGCACCACAGATACTATAATTATAGATTAGATTAAATCTCAGTGTTTCACTTTATTTACATTCCTGGCCTAGCCTATTCATTTCCGGTGTTTGTGCCAAGAATCAGCACAAAATTTACTGGAAATAATATGGAAGTCATCAGGATCCCTTCCAGAGCCTTTCCTTGGAATGTGTTCATGTGCTGAGAAGGAGCCTCGACGTTGCATTCCCTTTGCTGGCTCAGATGGGGTTTCCCCAGGGTGAACCTGAACCAGCCCCAAAGGCTCTGGAAGAGCACATTTCAGGAGTGTTGGAGAGGTGGAAGCCCTTTCCTAGGGGATGAAGATTGGGCACTGCCATCGGATGGAAGGGGATTCACTTAGACCTCAGAATGACAACACAGAGCTCCCATCCGCAGCCAAGACCCACCAAGACCTGCCCGACGGGCGCCATCCCCTGTAGGGTCTGGAGGCCATCGCCACCATGGCCATGCTTAGCCTCTGCCATCATATGGTGGCTAACAGTGAAGGTACTGGTTTTGGTGAGCTTGAGGAAAGAGGCAAAGGTGGTGTGTAGGGGGGGACCCATCATAGCACGGGGAGACAGCAGTTGCAATTCAGCAACCTGAATGCGCAGAAGGACCTGGCCCAGAGCAAGGCTGATTAATGTTGTTTGACCTCTGCCTTGTGCATAGCTGGGATAAAAAGTGGAATGGAAACCCTTGGTACTCAAGAGTGTGCTAACGTTGGCAGCAGTCCGCTGCTCCTTATGTGATACTAATTGTTATTGTTGGTCTTCCATCAGGAAGACATGTGAATGAGCACTGGAGCAATTGGAGACAGATGCCAAATAGCTCAGTGGCGTGGGTTAAAACACATCTGTTACAGTCCTTGGCCGAGTCCCCTGTGTGCTCAGGAGCTGTGCTGCTTCATTGAATCCACCTCTTCTGTTCCGCACGCTCTCCAACTTCCTAAACCCAAGTGGTATATGGCTGTAGTTTCTAAAAAAAAGCTTGCGGAAACTCAAAGAAGGCAAGTCAGGAGTTGAACAAGTGTTTAGTAAATCCCAGGCCTGTGCTCTGAATACAGGCTCATCCTTCCTCAGCAGTTTCGAGTTGCTTCAGAACCAGGCTGCCCAAATGCTGGCTCGGATGT